CCCTCCTGGCCCTTCTTCTGGCCCACGCGCCGCTTGTTGCGCGTTCGCCGCCGCTTCCGGCGGGCCAGCGGACCCAGCATTGCGGCGGCGGCGCCAGCGAGGCCGCCGCCGCCGCCAGGGCCGCCGCTGACCTCAAAGTCGGTGCTCTGTCCATCGTCCGGTTCGGTGGTGGATATCACCAGCCAACGGATCAGGTCCTTCCGCTTCACGAAGCCCAGCAACATGCGCGACTCTGTCATAACCACACACACGCACACGCACACGCACACACACACACACACACACACACATGTAAGCACGCACCGCACACGCACACGCACACACCGCACACATGGGAATGGAACACGTACCTTCGGCATCGATGACGGGGAACGTGGGTTTGTCTTTGTACTTGCGCATGATCTTGGCGACCTTGGGCGGGCTGGCGTTGATGGGGATGGAGAGCGGGTTGCGCTCCATGATGTCGTCGGCCGTCATGTCGAACATGCTGTGCTCGAGGTCGGGCAGGTAGGGCAGGCCCTTGATCTTGGTCACCGCGTCGTAGATCGACGGCGTGAACGCCCGCGACACCATGAACGCGATCGACGTCGCCAGCTGGAAAAGAAAGAAAGAAAAGATATGAGAAATGAAATGATGAATAGAGAAGAAGTGGAAGAGGAGGAGAAAAAGAAAGAAAAAGACTAGAGCGTACGATGATGGGGGAGAGGAGGTGCATCTGGCCCGTGATCTCCATGATGATGATCGCGCTGGACAGCGTGTGCGACATGCCAGCGGCAAAGGCCGACGCGCCTGTATCGCAAACGCACACGCACACGCACACGCACACGCACACGCACACGCACACGCACACGCACACGCACACGCACACGCACACGCACACGCACACACCACACAGAGCTTCAGTATATGCCGCACGACACGCACGACACGCCGCACGTACATAGCACGACACGCACAGGGGGCACGTGTGGGGGTGGGTGGGTACCGATGACGGCGTAGGTGGCGGGGAGGATTTCATAGACCTTGTCCTGCGGGAAGAACGCCAACCCATCGGGAAAGACGCCCTTCAGCAGCTCGCCCGTGGCGCGCCCCACTCCGGCCCCGACGATCAGCGCCGGCGCGTAGAGGCCGCACGCAATCGGCATCGACGCCGAGAACGCCAGACCAAAGAACTACGTTCAGCGTAGTAGTACAGCGCAGACAAGAAAGAACGCGTCAGTCAGTCGACGAAGACGACGGCGACGACGAGTGTGATTGTGGGCGGAGGGGTGGGTGAGGCGTACGCGCGAGACGGTGAAGAGGAGGATGCTCACGACTACGGGGAAGTGGGTGTCCCAGTCCTTGGCGCCGCCCGGCCGGGTGTCCAGGGGTCCCAGCCATATCATCTCCTTGAGTGACGACAGGCCCGGTAGCTACACGTTTTCCGCCGCACGACACGCACACCGCACGCACGACACACACGACACGACACACACGACACAAGCGTCAGATGCTGAACCAGGAGTGGTATGAGAGCGAGCGAGCGAGCGCACCGACATGAAGTAGAAGTTGCCCGGGAAGGTGATGATGGCGGTTCCCAGGATGACCCACAGCGAATAGACGTAGGGACTTCAATTGCAGACGTAGTCGAGGAGGCGTCAGTCGCACCGCAAGACGCCCGGGAAAGGGGGAAAAAAATAAGGGAGGCGGACGCACTGGGACAGCCATTTGACGATCTTGGCGCGCCAGACGAGGAATGCCGAGCCCTTGCCCGGGCCGGCCATGCCGGCGAACCACCTTCGCTTGAGGATGATCTGGCAGATCAGCTTGACCAGGGCCGCCGAACCCAAGCCGCACACGACACCTGTACGTAATAAATAAATAAATAAATACAAATAAATAATATATAATACATAAGATATATAAATATAAATATATTGATATGTATCAGTTGTGTTGCTTCTCGTGGCTTTTCGAATGAGCACAGCGCGACGCACCCAGAGCGCCGTGGAACAGGAGCTCGGTGTACACCCAGCAGTCGCGAGGAAAATTGGTGGGCGCCGTGGCCGACTGCCAACTGCGCGTTGACGAGGTGCCGAGGTTTAGTTAGTGAGTCTATAAATAAAATGTAAATATAAAATGTAAAATAAAAGAGTAATCGTCGTGGCCGACGTACCTCACAAACTGGTAGGCGATGGCTGATATCACGGCGCATTGGAAGGTGAGCAGGTAGTTTCGGACCGGGTAGTAGGTGGAGGTGACCTCTATACTGAACAGCACGCCTGTAGTGTCGTGTGCACCGCGCGTTGAGGAGTGAAGAATGATGAGAATGGTGGCCGGTGAACGTCGATATCGACGCGCCCCGAAGGTGTACCAGGGAGGGTTGAGGGCGCGTACCTCCGATGGGGGCTCCAAAATTGGAAGACACGCCCATGCCGCACCCGACTGCGATCATTTGCTGATACAGCTGTGGATTCTGGATGATGTTCGTGCCAGAACGCAAAGAATGTCAACGCGTGTGCGTGCGGTGCGTGCGTGCGCGTGTCGTGTGTGCGTACCTCGCGGATCAGGTGGAAAGGGCGGACTTTGGAGAGCAGGTTGGCGATCATGGAGGAGACGTGCACGAAGGGTCCCTTCTTGCCGATCATCAAACCGCTCGACAGGCCGAACGTGAGACTGAGCACCTTGGCCATGAGCGTCTTGAAACTGAGCAGCCCTTTGAGCTTCACGCCAGAGAGAATGCACTTGATCTCCGGTATACCGCTTCCCTGCGCACAAAGAAAAAGAAAAGAAAAGAAACAAAGCTGTCAGCCAGGCACGCGTCGGCCGTGCGTTGTCAAAAGAAAAAAAAAGAGCGTCACCTGCGCGACTGGACTGAGCTGACAGGCGGCTATGGCCAAGGCGGTGAAGAAGAGCGTCGTTGAGCCCCACATGAACCAGTCCTCCCAGTAGTTGTGTGGCGCTCGCGCCAGATAGTAACGCACTGCGAGCAGAGGATGAATGGTACGTTTCGGTTAGTGCACCGCGCCGCACACGCACACACGCACACGCACGCACGCACGCACGCACCACATGAGAAGAAGAAGAAAAGAGGGACAAAGGGCGTACAGCGATGGCAGTAGATGATGGCCCAGTCCATCATGCCTCCGATGACGGCGGTGATGATGCCCAGCAGGAGGAGGTAGAGCCAGATGAAGGGCGTCGCGCCCAGGAACTCCTTCAGGTCTGCTATCAGACCATCGAAGCAGTTGAACTGGACCGGCCTGCGATCGAAAGAAGAGCAGCACATGTCAGCCTCCACCAGGCACGGCACGGCACGGCACGGCACACACACACACACACCACACACACACACACACACACACCGACACACACACCGACACACACCGACACACACACCGACACACACCGACACACACACCGGCACACACACACGCACGCACGACACGCACGACACGATGTGATGCATACTTTCGTCTGTAGGGTGTTGGGATGGGACCGCTGATGCCTCCTCCACCGCTGCCCTCGTTCTCCTTCATCAACTTCTCGAAGACGGCGTCGTCCTTGTCCTTCTTCTCGACGAACGAGGGCATGACGTTATCGGCAAAGTCGAACTTGAACTCGTTCTCGAGCTCGTAGGCGCTCTTCTTGAGGTCGTCGATGTCTTCGAGCGTGACGCCGCCCACCCGCGCGGGCGACTCGACGTGTGTGCCGCCCGACATGGCGCCCTCCACCACGCTGGAGGCGTCGACCCCCTCTGTCGCGGTCTCGTCATCTGAGATGTCTGAATCGAAATCTGACAGCGCTGCGTCGTCTTCTTCGCCCTCAGGGACCGCTACGCGAACGCGCTGCAGCTCTTCCACATCCCTGGTGCTGAGATTCGAATACGATCGTCCGCTCTCGTCGAGGAAGCCGCCCGCCAGCCCATAGATCGCGCCTCCATTGTCGTCCATTCCGGGAGCTGGCGATGAAGAGTACGTGTAGTAGGAGTCCAGCTCTGTCGCAGAATCGTCTTCTCCCAGTACTCGTCCTCCATCGAGATTGGAAAGCTCCTCGTGCAATCCCTTCATCGGTGTCGTCGTTGATGTTGTCGTTGTTGTTGTTCCCTCTTGTGATGATGGCGAAATCTCCCGTTCGAAATCGACATCGTCTCTGGAGCCCATCATTCTACTCAGACCGCCTCTACCAATGGCCTCCTCGTTCTTGTGGTGATGCTTGGGCGTCGATGCTCTCTCGCCCAGAAACAGCAACGAGTTGGTCGAGAGCTGGCTGGTTGATTGTGACCCCTTGTGGAAGTGAACGATTCGTCGATGAATCGGTCGAGAAGCGGAAGTTGGCGAGGGAGATCTCGATGGCGGGGAGGGAGATCGCAGCGCAGAACGTTGCAGATGCGGCTTCCCCAGTGGGGCCTGAAACGAGGGGGCGGGGGTGGCACACGGAGGATGAGGTGGTGCCACCTCGTCATCTTCCATTTCGGGCCACCCCCATCGTGGCGCCATCCTTCGCGGGACCGGGGCACGTGGCGTCGTGTTCTCGCCTCCCCCTCCCCCTCCGTTTCGTCATCCGCTTCGTCTTCGCTTTCGCTCTTTTTCCGTGAGGGTTGTTGCTGCGGTGGAGCGACAGTGCCGCTGGTGGTGCGCTTGCGCTTGTCTTTGAGGCGCAGGTGTGGTGGCCCTTTGGCCACGTACGCTGCGAGCGGGCTGCGCAGCCGTTGGTCCATGAAGCAAAGGGGGAGAATGAGATAGAAACTGAATAATGTGGAGCTCCCCCAGGAAGAACGGAAGCGGCTGCATCCTGTTCATGTCTGAGCTTTCGGAGCTCCGTGTTTGTGGCGCCTGCCCTTTTGGGAGGCAAACACAACACGAATTATTTTATTTTTCGCTTTTGTGACACTTCGCGCCCAGCCTCAGTGGTGACGGCGATGACGAAGAGGAGGCTCTCTTACAGTAACACCAACGTCCCCAGTGCACAGGTCTCACCCTTGTGGCTAACCACCTCTTCATATCTGTCAAAGGACACTGTGGGGTGGTTGTTCGAGGGATTTAGTGCCCGCCCCTGCGGCGTGCTCCACGTAGCACCCGCCGACCGCTCCCGGCAGCAAAAACAGGGGCCGCGCTGGCGGAAGAGAGGGGCTCACCAGCTTGGCCCAGAGAGCTGCTGATTGGGGCGATGCGGTGAGCCTTCACCCCAAACGCAGCGATTGTTGTTTGTAGGATGTACCTGCGGGATCTATCAATGACGACATCATGCTTGATTGTGTCGATCTCCCTTGATTGCTGATTCCGCCAAGTAGTCATCTCCTCCAAGGAGCGCGTGAGCATCTCTATGGTTTCCTGCTGGTGCAGTACGACGACGCGGAGGGTATTCAAGGGGCACTTTTCCTCGTGTTCAGGCATGCGGCCGCGTGGGGCTGTGAACTCGCATCCAACCTCGGCAGCGCGACACGCCACCACCTTGGCCGTACACTCCTCGTCCTCGTGGCGCTTCTCGCCGCCTGGTGCCACGCGACTGCCACAACCGAGACCACACACTGGGTCCCATGCCCAGCGTGAGGACAGGAAATGGCCGCTAATAAAATGAAGTGGAGGTTGCATACAGGCTGGGCAGGCGGCGACGTGCTCGTGCAATGACTTGCGGGCGTAGCTGCAGCCGCAGGAGGGGCAGACCACACGCAGGTCATCGAGCCTGGCGGTCACAAAGCGCGGCGGGAGCATGACGCGAGCCAAAGCCGTTGGCTGTCGGCACTGAGGGCACGACGAGCTTTTCATGAGCCAGGCGCCAAGACACTCGCGGCAGAACATTTGTCGGCATTCAGGTTCGACCACAGGGTCCACAAGTGGCTCCTGGCAAATCGAACACACAAAGTCGCTGTCGACGTTGTCGTTCTCGTACACAAATACCTGCGAGCGAAGGCTTTGTCAAAAAGGAAACCAGCAAACACAGGCAAGAAGAGGAGGCGCTGAGAAGGAATCACAAACCCAAACAAACAAACAACAAAAAAGATGTGAGACAAGAAGAAATGGAAATAAAAGGGAAAAAGCTGCGAACCTGCTTGGCAGAGGGCGCACTTGGCCTGTGGTCGGTTGCAAACGAGAACATGGCCTCCAGGAGCAAACCAGAAAAGAGGCGTGCCGCAAGAACCTAAAAGACAACCTTGGTACCAAAAGCAATTTTCTCAGGCATTTCCTTTTCACTCCTCTTTTCTTTTGATGCCACCTTTTACAAGCCGCACAGTGAAGCGCGTGTTGGCGTTCTTGAGCACTCTGCCGAGGCTGATATCGCTCGACCTCAGCGCCTGGGACTGCTTTCCCTCCTCTGTACCACCGCCACACCTCTCCTCACAATCCCATGTTCACACAGCTCACAACACGACACGACACACGACACACACTCAATCACTATGTGCAGTTGATCGCATGTGTTGATGCAGAGACTGAGCCTCAGCTGCACCTCCATCACTGACCAAGGCGCGCCTTTGCATTGAAGAGGCCAAACAAGGCTAATTGCTTGTTCCTTTTTTCACATTTCATCACTTGAGGAAGGCCTTGTGGAGGTCGTGGTGCTGGAGGTAGGCCTCGACCTCCTCGCCGCACAGCTCCGCCACCGACTCACCGCGCTCCAGCAGCTCCCGCACCTGTGTATGTCGTGTGTCGTGTGTCGTGTGTCGTGTCGTATCGTGAGTGTGTACCGTGCCGTGAGTGTCGTGTCGTGTGTCGTGTGTGTCGTGTGGCACCTTGGTCGAGGAGAAGTTGAGCGTCTCGGTGAGCACGATGTAGAGCAGGTGCGAGATGTCCTGGGTCATGCCCTGCTTGGCGCGCCGTCGCACCGAAGCCGCCACCATCTCCTTCAGCGGCGTCGTGTAGCCCGGCCGACCCACCGCCACCACTGCCATTCGCCACACATCGAGTGAGCCGCGCGTGCGTGGGTTTGCGTGCCGGCGATGTCTGTGGATGTGTGTCCGAACCTGGTATCGTCTTGCTCCCCGCAGAGATGCCAAAGAGGAGGCCGCACCTGTGCGTCGGCAATCAGCATCAACATAACATCCCCCACATCGAAACATTTTATGTATATTTACTAAAATTAAATAAAGGCATTCATATATTAAAGAAAACACAAATAAACAAAAAAGAAAGAGTGATGCAGGAGAAGTACTTCTCAATCAGGTCTGCCCCGCCCAGGTACATGACCCTCACCTTCTCCTGCACGTGCTCCGCCACATACTCGGCGTGGTATCGCGCCACACTGTTCGTTGATGTCGTGTCGTGTTGTCGTTGATGTCGTGTCAGATTGTGTGCGTGTGTCAGAGCGTGTGGTGACCTGAGGCGTACGAGGGGAAATTGATGAAGCCCATGGCCCGGGCTTCGTAGGATGAGACTTCGATCCAGTCCGACTTGTCGGCCATGACGCGGCACATCTCCACCCGGTGGTGTCCGCTGATCGGGTACGACCGCACGTTCACCATCTACCCGCCAAACACACACGCCGTGAGCTTGTGCGTGTGTGCGTGTGCGTGTGCGGCGTGTGTGTGCGGCGCGTGTGTGCGGTGATGGAGAACAAAGAGCACCTTGCCGGTGACGTAGTGGTCGTGCGAGGGCGAGATCCAGCCGACAACGACAGTGAAATTGTGCTTCTCTTCGAGCCACCTCTTCGCCGCCTCAAACATCTGCCATGACGAGATCTCGTGTTTAGCCCACACGGCGGTTGCCGCCAACCAACAGAACAGACCAACCACAGAGAGCGCGCACCTCGAAATGCATTTTGTGAACGGGCGCGAACGACCTGGTTTTATTTTCAATTTTCAATTTTTAAAATGAATTAGTTAGAGAAAGGGAACTAATAAAATTAAAATAAACAAAAAAGTAAGAGAAACATGGGGTCATCATACCCGGTGGCGACGAGGGCGACGAAGCGGTGGTCTGGCCGCACCTTCTTGGCGGCTGCGATGTTGGCGCGCAGCTTGCCCAACGGTATCCGTTCCTGTTCTGCTGCTCGTGTTGTGGGCTCCATCTCTTGAGTGCGTGAATCCTTTTTGTTGTATTTTTGTTCATTTTTATTTTGCTGGCTTTTTTCCCTGTTCCCATTCGGCGAAACAAGGTCTTAGGTTGGAGAAATAGTGGAAAATCAGGAAAAAAATATATCTTTGTTTGAATATAGCAAAAAAAAGGACAAAATAAAGCAAAGGACAACAAATAACAAGACAAGTAATGGAGCAAGAGGAGGGGCCGATACCACTCGCCAAGCTGGTGGTGAACATTGCGGCAGCAAAGCAGGCTCGCCCCACTCACCCACACCGCTTCGTGGTCCTCCTGTCCACCGGGCACGCACACTCCCCTGCCCGCCCCTTCTTGTGTGCCCACCTCTCACATTGATCCTCTCCTCTGCAGGTCCTTCGCCCCCGTGCACAAGATGCACATTCACGTACGCTGCAATGTGTGCATCGCACACGGCACACGCGAACACATGCTTACACACGTTTTTTCGACTCACAGATATTTGAGGCGGCGAAGGAGTGGCTGGAGAGCAAGCACGGGTTTACCGTGGTCGGCGGCTGGATGTCGCCCTCTCACGACAGCTACGTCCTGGCCAAGGTGCGCGTTGTGGTGCGTGCGTGCGTGCGTGCGTGCGCGTGTGGTGTGCGTGTGCGTGTGCGTGTGCGTGCGAGTGCGTGTGTGTGCCCTGAGGGCTGACTGATGGCTGCTTCCAGCTCGAGTTTGCGCGATCGCCTCCGATCAACGCCGCTCATCGTGTGGCCATGTGTCGCGCTGGGTTGGCGAGTTCGTCGTGGGTCGAGGTTTCATCGTGGGAAGCCACCACTGACCAGGGATTCCTCGACTTCCCCGAGTACGCTGTGTACCCTTCAGCGCTTCGTGTCGTTGGCCGGAGCGGGCATTAATTTCAAGTGTTGCCTTTCTCAGCGTGATGCAGTTCCACTACGACTACCTCCACGAGCACTTGGGTGAACACGCAGAGGACATCACCCTGATGTACCTGGGCGGAGCTGATCTCATCGAAAGGCACCGCAAGCACCATCACACACACACACACACTACACACACGGCACACACGGCACACATGACACTCACGTCACACACGACACGCAACGCAAACCATAGATGTGGACCCGTGTTTGGGGTCGAGCTCTACGACGGGAAGCTGGCGCCGGTGGTGGCGGTGGGCCGGCCGGGCTACACAGAGGCTCTGCGCACCATGGTCCAGTCGTCCATCCGGCAGGCCGAGAAGCAAGGCCTCCCTGCCTCCAGAGACATGCTCTACATCGTGTCCAACGAGACCCTGGCCTTCTCATCGACCAAGGTACTTCGCCCGGCGCCTGGTGTGTTGCCGTTGAACACGACACGACACGACACGACACACGACACACACAGGTGCGGGAGCTGCTGGAGCGCGGTGAGTCGGTGGCGGAGCTGTGCGGCGAAGAGGTCGAGGCCTACCTCCAGCACCACGACCTCCACAAGGCCTTCTTCAAGTAGCAGTCCGTACCGTATTTCGTGTAGTTAATGTACCACACATGTTCGAACATGTTACATAGCAACAAAGAGTATGTCGACACACTTGAATGTGGAATAAATAGTGTGGTGTGTGAGCGTATCAGGGCACCAGGTACTTTCGTTGCCACTCGCCCACCGGCACGTCGGTGGCGGCGGCGCCCTGGTCGCCAACGCTGGGCGTGGTCGCTAGGCCGAGCGTGCGGTGGTACAGCGTGCGCTGCGTCCAGCCGGCCCGGGTGTCCAGGAACTCGATCGTGTCCGGCACCAGTCGAAACCCGCCCCACGCCTGCCCGACCCGGCCCGCGCACCACATCACGCGAGATCTTAGAACCGCCCACTGCGCGCATAGCCGATGAAACCCTAGGGCTGGCGTACGGCAGGCAGCGGCACGTCCTGTGGCGAGAGCATGTAGCGGTCCATCATTCCCTGCAGGTACTCTGCTCGCTCCTGTGTGCGTGTGCGTGTGCGATGGTGTGTATGCGTGTGCGGTGGTGTTGGTGCTTTTGGCTGTGACTGCCCAGGAGCGCGGAGCTTAACGATCAATCGTGTGTGGTGGGGTACCTGGTGGGAGGGCTCGTCGTTGCTTTGATTGAAGGGGTGGTCCTGGCCCTGGCTCAGGGCGTAGAAACAGATCTGCTCCACTCGCGAGCAGAGCCTAAAGAGCATTTCCGTCTCGCGTTTCGTCACCTGGCGAACTCCATGTGTCAGGCGCACACGCACACGCACGCACGACCGCACACAAACACGCACACACGCACACACACACGCACACACACACACACACACACCGCCGCACACGGCCGCACACACACACGCGTAGAACCTTGTGCACTACGCCGGTGATGCGGACTTGGCGCAAGGTCTCGGGCCAGGCGGAAGAGGACGGCGGCCTTGGGTTCTCCTCGAGCTGCCGCGCCTTGGGTCCGTCGTAGTTGGAGCAGACACGACCTGCTCGTCCCACAT